ATTTTATTGAAAGCTTTATTATAACAACGTAAACATTTCATACGATGAATATCGTTTGTTTGTAATTCATTTGTTTGTATTTTACCACATTTAATACATTGATATTGTGGTTGTTTATTTGGATCAATATTACCCAATTGTAATGGTAATTCAATCAATTGATTTGATTCATTTATTTCATCAATTTCACCATCAAAATCATCTAGATAAAGTAGTCCAAGTACATTACGTTTATATTCAGGCCAATTGTCGGTGTTGATTGTAAAATCTGATCTTGATTCCATTATTTCTGTGGTTAATTTAGTTGATGATGAAGATGATTGTTGTTGTTGTTGCTGGTCAGTCATCGTAATTGATTCTTCTATGAAAATGACAAAAAAAAATCAATTCAAAATGAATAAAATCATCATTTACTCTGAACTCGGTGAATGTCGATAAAATCGAATGTTCACAAAACTTTTTTTAAAAAAAACATGCATGCACACAGCGACAAATCCAAAGTGTAAACTTCACAAATGATGTTTATTTTAAAGTTTACACTTCAGATTTTGGATGGATTCGAATCATCGTAAAAAAAACAACCGATCAAATTTGATCCCAATAAAATAAAATTTATTCAAATTTTTTTTTTGTTTCGTTTTTTTTCAATGAAAAATATTCAAAATTTAAAATAAAACAAAAATATAGAGCAAAAAGAGAAGAAGAAAATGAAAAAAAAACAAGAAAATAAATGAATCGTTTGTTTTTTTTTTCAAAGTCGTTTGAATCATTTATGATCGATCAATCAAAATTCGATTCGAGTTTCTTTTTTCTTCACAAGAAGAAACAAACAACAATCCTAATTTTGGAAAAATGTATGTATGTATGTGGAAGATGAACAATTTTATTTTTTTTTTAATAGATTTTTTCTTTTCTCACAAATAATCTGGCTAGATAAATTATCTTTCTTTCATAAAAATGATTTGAATTGAATGGTTTGGTGTGTGGAATATAAATGGTTTTGACATATTTTTTTTCATGCTAAATTTCTAATTTAAAAAAAAAATAATAATGAGGGAGAGAATGAATGAATGAATGAATGAAAGAAAAAAAAACATTGCAACGCGTAGATGAGTTGAATATCAAATGACGATAATGATGATGATGATGATGAAAAAATAAGCATCTCGATGATAAAAACAAGAATATTCTGTAGGTTTGGTTGGTTGAAGTTTGAAATTTTTGAAAAAATGATTCTTGATTCTATGCTGGTTTTTTTTGTTGTTGTTTTTGTTGATTCAATTTGCTGATGATGATGATGATGATGAATATAATGATTTTAACATTGACAATCTGAACGATTCCCACTACCATCTTGTCTACCACCATTTGCATTTGTTGTTGATGATGATGATGAAAGAACCGGGCTTGGTTTATGTTGTACACCAGATTCGGCTGCATT